GCCTCCAACTTTCCACTTCCTGTTCATAGACATCGCTGTCGCTGAGACCTTCTGTCTCCTGTAACCTCTGCTTCCAAGGCGAGGTCACAGAGAGACTACATAGTGATCCCTGCTGCTCTTTCTGGTCAACGTCTGTGTGGCCACAAGAGGGAGACACATGCAAGGCAGGGGCTGTACCTTTGGGTCCCTAAAGCGTGCCACCAAAGCTGCTCAGAGAAGTCTGCTGCTAAGCAGAGTGAAGCTGAACAGGTGAAGGAGGGGGGGACCAGGAACCAAAGTGGGTCCAGCCTCAGGCACTGCACTGAGGCGATTCCAACTTTCTTTGCTAACTTGAACTGAGTGGTAGAGAATGCTGGAGCCTGCAGTCTGTGATCTGCTCTGGACTTCTTCGTTCAACTGGTAGACCAAAGGCTGAATGCAGGACTTCAGCCAGGAAGATGCAGAAAAACTCTAATCTCTGGATGCCCACAAAGCTGCTGATAACCTCAAAGAATTCCTGAGGAACAACGACACCTATAAAGTTGGGTTTCTTACTACGTATCCTCAGGGCACAGACCTGGCATCCTTGGGAGCACATGCTTAAAATTCAGCCTGCAGACCAGAGGCAGCGCGAGGGAGGCTGCTGTCATCCCCACAGCCGGGACTGTGTCACAAGCAGAAGTTGACGACAACCATCACCGGCACAGCTGCCGCACGGAAGGCAACGTACATTTCCTCTGCAGAAACCACAAGAAGCTGGAGCGACTTCCCAAGCAACAAGTCCTCGGTGGCCACCTATGTTTCAAATGATGCCACAAGATAAAGGGAAGGCTCAGTTCCGGGAAGCACACTGCTTTCTCTGGCCTAGCAGCATACAGCTGTGACATCAGTGACATCTGGGGACTGAAGGACTCCTTGCAGAGAGGATGTCAGCAGCACCCCTGGCCTCTAAGCCCCAGAAATGAGTGGCATTCCACTGCCAGCACAGGAAGCCACTCGGTCGCTGCTTAGGGGGTGGGGCAGGACACTGTCCTCAGTGGAGGACCCCTGCTATTCATTCATTATCCCAACGGAATCTTCCACAGTGACCCCTCTCGGGCCCACATACACAGCACAAAAAGGACAACTAATGCCCTCAACGGTGAGAAATCACTCCCTGAGGGACTCCAGTGGTCTGACCTCCATTCTAGTGTCTCGGAATACAAAGTAGCTACACAAAAGGACATAAGCCAAGCCGGAGATGCTCCAACAGCCTAGTGACTTCCAAAAGAGCTGGTGCTAGCCAGGAGCTCAAAGCAAGCAGCCTCACGGGAAATCTTACAGACACGTTTTAGACAAACGGAGGCGAACGTCCTGTGCACATTTTAGAGCGCAATTTGATCCGCTTACCTTTAATCTCTAAAATTAAAGTTTTTCCAAATAGATCACTGAGTGATTTAACATGCTCACCACATTTCAAGACAGCGTGTTAGAAGCCAGATGGACCTCCAGGAGGAGCTCGACACTGGCAGGGTGCAGTTACCATCTGACAGCACTTAAGTGGGGAATGTCCAAGCGACCTCATCCCCGAAAGCAAGCCCAAGCTCAGCAGCTGCCTCAGCTTCTCGACGCAATGGATCGCTTTAAGGCATGCAAGTGCAAATACTCTTTAGAAGTTACGGGATCTCTAAAGAATATATATTTATTCTGTTCATTTTTCTACAATCAGGCATGAGGTTGTCTCTGTGATTTCAAAGGAACCCAAAGCCTCCAGCTCCTAGCTCGGGGATCTTTTCCACAGTAGCTGCCAGGTTAAGTTTTCAAGCTTTTAAGCCCAGGCCTTTTGTCCAGAACTCCATGAAGTGAACAAATGGTAACCCAGTTCTCAGACAAAGACAGCTCTGAGCACAGCTGGCCACGCACAAGCTGCCACTGGCAAACGTCCGCCAGACCTCAGGGGAAACCCTGCCCTCAGACACACAATCGAGTTTTGCTTCTAGGAATGAAGTTTTCCAAGTACAAATCAAGCTAGGATTTCTAAGAAATGATTCATTCCATTGACGCAGAGGAGGACAATCCATTAAGCAGAAACCCCACCCAGGAGACACATAATTCGTGTGACTGGGACAGGAAGTCCCACAGAGAGTGAGGACTCCTAGAGCCCAGGGAACTTGGGTACTGAGAAAACTGTCAGCAAAACAACAAGAAACAGCAAGCGTTTTCTTAGGAACAGTGGAGAACAAAGCTACCTCGAAGGCCACTAGAGGCATGAGTGATCAGGACATGTAGTTTGCTTTCAAAGTCCAGCTCCTGGGCTGGTGAGATGGCTCAGTGGTCTAAAGCACCTACTTAAAACAAGGCTTAGCAAAGCACAGGGACCGCGGTTCAATCCCCCAGCACCACATGCCAGCCAGCCCCGCCCCCTAGTGGGCTGAGCTGGCCACACACACACACACACACACACACAAATAAAATTAAAAAAAAAAAAAAAAAAAGTCCAGCCCCTGGCACATGACTGCCTCTTCGAGGAAGATACAGAAATTAGAATGTCTCTTCCCTGAAGTGGGTTACAGAAGCTGACAGTCTCCTGGTCTTCAGTCTTGGAGCTGCTCTGCCCTAGCTCGCCCGACCTTAGGTCAGAAGGGCCTGTAGTCTTGTCCTTTATTCTCTCTGCTGCACAGAGAGGCCAGAGGAACCGGATGGGCCGGGCCATGCTGGTCTTTCCCCTTGGGTCCTCCAGCTTTACGGCACGCCGATCCTGTTCCACAGGGCTGTCAGGGCTTCCTCCACTACACAAGATGCCAACAAGGTTGAGGCTCATGGGAGCGTGGACAAAATTCATCAGATGGGAGAGCATCCCAGCTGTGTGGGGACACAAGCTACTGGGCTTAACACCCGCCCAGACCGCACCCTACATATCTGTTATGGTTTGTGCATGGGTGTCCCCTCAAAGCCTCATGCATTCATTGGGGAGCGGTTCTAGACTTTGTGATTAATTCAGGGTCCAAGGCTGGGATTATGGGTCTGAGCGCTTGGGGGATGATGGGCGTGAGTGCTGCACCATGCTGGGGCAGAGACCCTGAAGGCAACCGAAGGAAGGCGAGAGGCGGGCTGGCTGCAGCCGCTGCTCCTCTCTGTGCTCCTTGCTGTTTCTTGCAGCCATGCACTGCTGCCCTCTGCCATGTGCCACTCTGCCTTGGGGCCAGCCAAGCATGGACTGAAACCTACTAACTGAGAGCTAAATAAACCTTTCCTTCCTTCATCTAGGGTGTCAGGTATTTTGTCCCAGCAACGAGGGAAAGCAACTGAGAGAATATTTCTTCATCTGGTTTAGGATTTGTCTCCTCTGTTTATAATAAAGTAGCAAAGAATTAAAGTTCCGGGAGCCATTCTTCAAATTAAATGTATACAGAGGGGCTCATGGGTGCTCCCAGAAGCTGTAGAGGCTAGATGACTGGGTCTGATGGAGGGGCCATCTCCTGATACCTGGGGACCCACCCATGGAAGGGGAACACTCTCCCCAGGGGGACAGTGTCAGAAGTGAGCTGATTTAGAGATCTGGAAGCTGGTGGCTGGCGCAGAATGACAACTTGTACTGGGGCAAAATTCCACCCCTTTGTAGGTGACCTCGAACTCATGGTAATGCTCCTGCTTCCACCTCCGGAGCGCTAGGGTTACAGGACTGAGCTGCCGTGCCCAGCGTCAATTCCACAGAAGTGGAGACCACAGAAGTGATTTGTGTGGAGTGTCAATTAGACAAACAGTGAGTGTGTCTTCCATCACCACATCAAAAGCATCTATAAGCAAAGAGACACTGAAGGTTCTCTCATCTTGTAAGGTTCTGCCTGCAAGCTTCAGGGATACCCAGAAGCTCACTGAGTGGCTTGAGGAGTCAGGGTAGGAGCAGGCTGAAACCCTGGGAGTTACATGGAAATCTATGTGGAGATTCTGTTCTATATTTTCTTTCTGAAGGGACTGTCAAGTTTAACATCAATTATGACACACAAAGAGCTGAAGATATTCTTTTGCTCCTATGATTCTAAAAGCTACCAGTCCACGGTTACTCTGTGTTTAAGGATAGCCAGGCCGTGGTACTGAATGCATTTGATTCTACCACAGATTAGCAGGGTGTGTCAGAAGAGAGCGCCAAACAACCTGCTTATTGCATGGACAGAACGGTGACAGCGATCACAACTAAAAGACAAAGTGAGAGGGCCTGGCTTACTATGGCCCCGTCTACCACGCCTCAGTAGGGGACCCCAGGACCAGTATTTCCTCGGGCTAGCAACACAGATCTGTGAGAAAACGGACACAGAAGCGCTGAGGACTGAAGCACACCGTCACCACTGACCCCATGACAGTAACAGAGAGTGACTCATGGCCAGACTGATGGTCACAGTCTCTTTCTCAACAGCTGACAGGAGAAAACACACCACAACAATTACAAAAACTCTGGAACTCAGAAAACGTCCTGAGACTTCTTCATTGGTCACTGGCGTACCCGTTTTCTAAGGAGGGACACACTCACCCAACCTTTATACAAAGTGTCACCTCTGAGGATTGGAGACTTGGACAGTGAAAAACCAAGTCAGGGGAGGCTGAATCTAGTAAATCCACGATAGTATGTGGTGATTTTTCTGTTCTCCCCCTGAATGAAGATTACATATCAGAGGGGCAGCAAGCTGCCCTGCTACAAAGGATTCCTGATGAGAGATAAGGTACTGAGGCCTCAGTGCTTGCCTGGCAAGCACAAGAACCCGGGTTTGATCCTTGGTACTGCATGTCAAGCTGGCCCAGCTGCCCCTGGAACTGGGCGTAGTGGTGCACACCCGTAGTCCCAGTGCTGGGAAGGCTAAGATGGGGGGATCACTATGAGTTTAAGCTGTGTACCGAGACTCTGTACCTAAAGCATAAGTAAATAAACAGAGATGAGGGATGCCCAAGTTTGACCTGCAACTGTTTGAGAGTAATGAATGACACAGCGTAGGACTCACGCAACCCCTCCAAATAGTGCTGTACTTTGAGATCCCAGGTTCTCTCACCTCCACCGGGAACCGCCTGCCGTTGACACTGTGTTCTGAGCCGGCAGAGCCATTGCTGTGGCCCCAGTGAAATTCCACCTTCTCCGCCTTGAATCTGCCAGGCAGGCCAGCACCACTGACGAAATAGTCATCTTTCAGAAGGATGGCAACTGTGGAAGTGGAAGAGAAGGGAAAAACCAAGATGAGTTCCACACCCAGGCTCAGGACTTCTGTTGTTTTTCATAAAACAAGATTACCAGGATGGGAATGATTTCCTTATATACCTATCAGAAAAAGTCAAAACTACCACCCTGAATAAACTGAAATATTCCAGCTGCAGAACACACTCAGATCCTGGGTCTAAATCATGACAATCCCCAGGGAAATATTTCACCCATTTCTTATCCATTTAACAGCTGGGCGGGGGTGTGGGGGGATGGAGACAATGACAGAACAAATTGCTGTGAATCAGGGTCATTGGCATCCGCTGGAGGGTCACAATGATCTGGAGGGTGAGCTGTTGCCATTTAACAACAGTTCCTGGGGCTATCCTGAGATCAAGGTCAGGAATGATCGGGGAAATGCATACGATAAGCCTGCGGTGAGTGGGACACTTCTTTGATCAGAAACCTAAACAAGAAATGGGGCTGGGGGTGCAGGTTCTTCCGGGATGGAGGCAACACTAGTGGGAAGATGGGCTGGGAAGGCGCACTTTACATTAATAATGCCCAAGAAAATGCTGTGCAAAATCTACTCATTAAGTCACCTAATGTTGGCTGACAACTGGGTTTCTCTACTGCTTTCTTCTTGGTCTTTGAGGCAGGGTCTTGCTATGCAGTTCAGGCTGACCTTGAACTCACTTAGAAGTCCAGGTGGGCCCGGAGCTCCCAGAAATTCCACTGCCTCAGCCTCCCGAGTGCAGGCACGATAGGCACATGGCCCTACACACAGCTCTAATTCTTTTCATTCTAAACATAAGAAAATCGCCCATGAGAAAGAACACACGCACAGGAGTATCTACCGGACAGAGAGCCTCACAGTACATTCACACCCTAAATTTCAAATATATACCTCTGCCTTCAATCATAGGAAAGAGCATTCAAGAATAACTTGGATTTGTACTAAAAGAAAACTATTTTTGCAAAAGGAACGTAAAAATCTCAGTGCATACAAAACAGCTGCTGTTTCACCATGATACAGTCCCTCTCTGTCTCAAGTGGAGTCATTCATACCCTTCACAATGTCTATTGGTTGCTAAATACGCGCTAGATGCCAGCCAATACAGTGAATGGCTTGTGACCCCAAGCCAAGCTCGCGCAGCCATGGGAAAGCTCTCAGACCCTCATTGTGGCCTCTTCCTCGGGATCCCAGCGAGAGCTGCAAAGAGAAATCCTGCATGCAAATTAGGTCACCATAAAAGATAGGGACTAGACTAATGACCCATTTCTGAAACAGGGTAATTAGTTTCAGTATTTCTGTGTATAAAGGAAGCATTAAATGCAAGTGAGGAAACCCTGATCATATAAATCCCTTTTTATTGCATTCAAAAGGCAGTTTTCTCCCAACTTCTGAAAAATATACAGTGAATGTTCAATTAGTGGCGCAATGAATTAAAGGATGAAATGAAGCAAGTGTTTCTTGTGCCAATTAGACCCGCTTCGGCACTGTTCCAACTGTACTCTGTTTGGGGCAGGTTTTGGAGCAGGGGTCAGCTTGCTTTTCCTGCTGAGGGCAACTTCGTACGTATTTTCGTTTTTGCAGAGGATCTGCCCAACGTGACCTCCTCTCTATAGCACACAGGTAGAAGCTAAAGATGGCATACCCATGAAGGCCAGAGGCCCTGCTCTGGTTCAACCTGAACCACACTGGAATTTAGTCGGATACACCGTTCCTGTGTTACAGACTATCCACTATTCTCTTTTTGATTTTTTAAGAGAGTCTGAAAGTGTAAAAAAAGCCAGAGAGCCTATCATTTCATCCTATCTAACATATAATATCTCAGAAAACAAAATATTACCTGAACTACTGTAAAATTGTTGTGTACATAAATATACAGAATGACAGCTTTTAAAAATTACATGCTATCCATACACTTTTCATTCCAATGTCAAAATACCTAGGCATTAGCTCAGCGGTGCCTAATACCATGAACCATTTGCAGCCTGGCTTAAGCGCTATATTTAAAGTTTGCATCTGAGGGAAGAAGGCAGCCATTTTTTTCTTTTTCATTTCTTTTTTCTTTTTTTTGTATTTAGGACAGGGTCTACAGGGTCTACAGGGTCTCACTTCGTAGATCAGACTTGTAGTGATCTGCCTGTTTACAGCCTCCCAAGTGCTGGGATTACAGGCATGCACCACTATGCCCATTCTCAATCCCAGTCTCAGCATGCTCCAGGGATGGGGCCGGCAGAGCAGGCCTGGGGATCGAACTCCAGACCCCTATGTCTGTCTAAGCAGGCGCTTTAATCTGCTGAGCTATTTGGTAGGCCCTAAAGTTAGTGATGTTAAGTCAGCATCTGTTAAAATACACCAGGGCCTCGGCTTCATCATATAAATATTTGATTTTACCTAAATCATTTATGTCTCTGTCACAGGTCATTTTACTTGTTTCATATGAATAATTAAAGACATAATTAGGAAACTGTACAATCTGAAACGTTCATTTCATTTTTCGTTTTGCAGCGTTCCTCACAGCCTGCCACAGGCACATGAACCCCTTCCAGAGACGGTTTCCTCTTGCTTACATAGGAAGGTGGTTAGCGGTGATGACGTCCTAATGACAGCGGATGACAGCGCAAAGGGGGGCATAGAACACTTCAGGAGCACAAACTCGTGCTGGGGTACTGCAGCATGGCAGCACACACCTCTAGTCCCTGAGAGGTTATAGGCATTCTGGGAAGCTGAGGCAGGAGGACTGCAAGTCTGACCCAGGCCTGGACAATTTAGAGACCTTGTATCAAAATAAAATAATAAAAGCTGGACTGGAGATGTAGCTCAGTGTGAAGATCCTGGGTGTGGCCTTAGGCGGGTTACTCTAGTCCTCTGTGCCTCAACTTCCAGCTTATTAAAAAAGGGGGTGCATTATTAGCAGCGCCTACAGGGCACGGCTGCCCATAGCCACTCAGCGCAGGGCCGGGGCCCAATCAGCCAAGCTCCTGCGGGCGCCAAGGTGCGCAAGAGAAGCGGAGCTCCTGGACCCCAGGGGAGGGCGGCTCCCCACCGCCAGACAGAGCCCATCCGAAAGCCGCACTGGCTTCCACAGAAGTGACGAGAAGCACTAGATGGGCGCAGGGTGGGTGCACCGAAACCTCTCCTGGAAGGAGACCTCAAGAGGTGACCACGCGCGAGACCACTCAAATGGACCCACAGAGCACACCGCCTTTTGTGTGCCGTCCTTCCGATTGTCGAGGAGGTGGAAGCCTCTGGGCTCCCTGACATGTGTTCCTTTCTCTCCTCTTCTCTCCAAATGTAACGCTCAAAGGAGAACAACACAAGACACTGATTTACCTTCACAGACTATAGACATATTTTTAGCAAGTCTATCCATGTCGAGCAGCAATGGTTTCTTTTATTTATGGTACTGACAAAAAATGTTTTCTTTTAAAATCAATTCAGTTAATGAAAATAAAATAGGCAAACTGATAGGAAGCAAGTAAGTAAACAATAAGGCAAGAATAATAGACCCGCTGGGCCTGGTGGCCCGTGGCTGTGTTCCCAGCTGTCCTAGAGGCTGAGGCAGGAGGGCTGCCAAGTGTGAGGCTGTCCTAGGTAACTCAGAGAGACTGCTATGACATAAAAAATAATTTTCATAGGGCTGAGGAGGTAGCTCCCCGGAGAGTGCTTTGCTACTCTGGGATCAATCTCCAATACTATTTTCCCCCTAAAAGAACAACCAGTAAAAATAAAATATAAAACAGCAGCAGTGGCAGCAGAACATGGATAGGGCAGGCATGAGGGAGGCAGCTGGCAGAGCGCTGCAGACTGAGTGGGTGTGTGCATGCTCTCGGTGCCTAGGCTGCAGGCTGATCCTGGACACGGCACACGGGACGCAACTGGGGAGACCTGTGTCCCTGCAGCTGAGGCCCGAGGGAGAGCCTGGCGCTTTCACCACGGGTGGAGCAGCGAGACAGTGGGGAGCTGCCGGTGCCGTCCAAGCTTGGGACTGTGAGCAGCGTCTGCAGTATAAACACGCATCAGCCAGCAGTAACACAAACAGGGATGTGTGTGTGCACATGTGCGTGTGCACAGGGGCCCCAATGGCCTTCTCAGCATGAGCCCTCCTATGGGATACACTGCTCCCCCACACTTAGGATGGTGGTGAAATCAGGCAGAAGCCCAGAAGCTGGCAGGGGCAGGGTTCCAAGCACAGGGCTCCTAGGAGATGCCCCAGGTCCTCAGCCACACGCCCCGGGCCTTGGGGTCCAGGCTGTCCCAGTATGGGAGGAGAGACTGGTGACAGGGGAGCACAGCTAAGCTCTAGGGCCTGTCAGCATTGGGAGCCGGGCATACCACGGGAGGCACTGCTGTTCTTGGAGCCTCAGTCTCCACTCTTCAGAGGTACTACTGGGCAGCAGAGACTTCCGAGAGGGTCACAAAGGTGCTTGGACATGGAACACGCAGGGCAGCAGTGCACACCCGGCCTGGGAGCACAGAGCTGCCCCGACTTAACTGTGCTCAGAGCCGGCCTTTCCCTGGAGCCACCCCAGGCTCTGCTAGGGACAGGGCCCTCTTGGAAGTCTGGCTGGCCCTTCAGCAGGGCGATTTTGCTTCCTTGGGCCTGGAGAGATGACTGGGCAGCCCGTATCGTGGTTGGGATTCCTTGCAGGGCACCCAGCTACACCTTACAGCCTGAGTTCAGCAAGGAGGTACAGGCGGGGTCAGCCAAATCTTCTGTGTAAACAGCAACAGATGCTAGGAGGGGAAGACATTGCAGGGAAGAGCTCACTGCTTCCATCCCCTGCTCGCTTCTTCCCAGCATCAATAAGGTCAGAGAAGCCTAGTGTTATAGGGTCTTCACAGCTGGAGCCCCAGCTGCAGTCCCCCCCACCACCTGTGACCTCGGGGATGCCTGGCGCTCCCGGAAGGCGGAAGCTCCAGTCGGAATGGTGCAAAGCCTCAAGGGCAACGTTTTCTCCACTATTTCACAAATATTTACCGAGCAATTGCTGGG